CTCTTGACTCAATGCTGCCGCCTGAAGGTGCAGCAAGATTGAATAAATGTGCTCTCCAATTATTTTCAAATTTTAACGAGTAAAATTGTAAAACAAACACTAGGTCCAGGACCAATGTATTCACCGGAACAAAAGGTACATATTCAAAAACTTCGTGGAAACTTTAATGTCCATGGCTGTTTCAATCAGATTAAATTCAATTCATTGCAAACACTGTTTCAATCAGATTAAATTCAATTTACTGTAAACGCTGTTTCAATCAGATTAAATTCAATTTATTTATTTATTTATTGCAAACGACCCTGACGTTCTTATAACTTGTAATAGAATGTGCAGTTTGTTAAAAGATCCTCTAGGTGTCACCAAAACACTGCACAAGAAAATGTCACAGCTTTAGCCTGTTTAATTGACGGTGTCTAACGGAGAGAAGGAAGAAGATTCATAAATTAATAACAAATTACCTCATATCTTATCATATTTATGTCAAATACTGTTATACCAACACCATTGCTTTTCAAATTCAGCCCTTTTCACCCACTGAGGCACAATCAAAGAAAAAAATGAAAAATGAAATTAATTTGCTTCGCCTCGGTCCAGCAATAGCACTGCACTCTCGTGAGGTGGCGCCAGATCCCAACTTTTGGAACCACTGCCAGACGACAGGAAGCTCAGGGCACATGAGGATATATCGAAAGGTTGTGACATAATTAATATGCAAAATACTGCATATTACTGCTAATGAAATACCACATTCCCCTGAACACTTCCTCTTTCTTTGTGAACATTATCACGGTCGTGGGCAACTTTGGAGCAGACCAAAGAGCAGGTTTCTATTCAAACAGAAGGTTAGGGGTTCACTGCCAGATTTGCAAGTCTTTATGCCAAACATGTCCAAGGAAAGCTGTGTGAGTACAAGTTAATCCAGGTCACCGTGACATCAGCATATAAATGATACTGAGGAATACTTCCACGTGTGATGGAGAAAGCTAATTCACTGTAATGTGTATTAGGTACGGATGAGTAAAGGGAATTATTACTATAAATTGTGGTCATCAACACCAAAACGCCAAGACCAGTCACCTAATGTGCCTCCGTTTCAGCCTTCTGTGTGGTTGCATTCATAATTTTTAAAGAAACTTTGCTGAATATTTAAACACCATCAACAGTTTCCTCTAATTAGGAAAAAGTTTGTTTCGGTTAAAAATACATGATCTATTAAAAATATATCTACTCTAATTAGGAAAAAGTTTGTTTCGGTAAAAAATACATGATCTATTGAAAATATATCTATCTTTCACCTCAACATGTGCACTTATTAGAAGTCTGTTGTCTCAAACCTGAATTCATTACAGATAAATTAATTATGAAAACACAAATTTAACAGCTTCATTCATTTATATTACATTAGCATGTGATGTGTTGTTTATCCTTCATCATTTAAAAAAAAAATCATCATTTAATCCTCATAAATGTGGGGTTCAGGAGTGGACCACATGGTGGAGGATATTGTAGCTGTTGAAATTACCTGAGCCTGGGCTCCATTCAGCATCAGATAATAGAGCTTGCTGAGGATGCTCTGCTGCAGCTGCTCCCAGGAGATGTTTCTGTCCTCATGCATGAGAAAAGGAGGACCGAACCTGAGGGAGGAGTGGAAGTTAGTGGCAGAGCAGGAGAGATGACGGTGTATTTTTAGTGTTTACTCGCAGCATTATGGGAAACCTTATCGAGCATGTAGATTTTTGATCAGTTTGAATCAATTTTTTTTTGTCAGCCAATCGAATTGCACTGCCATCAATTATAGAGGTTATACATGATGACAGCTTCCCCACTGCCGCCTCAGTAAATCTAGTTTGACTTTTTAAATGTTGTACACGAGATGATCACAGTACAAGTTCTTAATCAATGCCCATTGACTCCACTAGACTGAGTAGATACAGTAGCACCATAACACTTCATGTAGCCTGACATCGATTATCCCATTATCACCCACGTCCAATCAGCATGTCTCTCACCTGACAGCCTGCTGTCCAGACCCTGCTGTGTTACACAGGAGGAGCAGGATCTTTGAGGAGCCGCCCTGGTTCAGGTATTCAGAGGAGAGGGTTCCGGAAGGAGGTAGCCTCTGACCATCAGGTCCAGTGGTGGAGGTGTACGGGGAGGAGGGGAGGCTGTGGTGATACCCTGAACACAACAGAGAACGACGACATCTTAACTGTTGTCTTTCTGACAGTGACTGGAATTTGGACAGACTTTACTCCTATATATCAGTTTATTTCTTTCTCTAATTCAACCCCAATCTAATCTCCAGATGTCTCTGCTCTTCTGATTCTAATTAATTAGGAATTGTAAAAAAAAAAAAAAAGTCTGTGTAATCACACTTGTTGTTGTACACAATAAATTACAAAAACGTTTAACTTTGCTTTTTCGAGGAACAATAACAAAACCCGAGTAGACCACACCTCTGGTCTCTCTGGGAACGTAAACCACGACACAATCAAATGACTATATTAAACAATACTTGTTCTTTCACTATACTGCAATTAATCACTGCCATTTATCAATACTCTCTCTCTCTCTCTCTCTCTCTCTCACACACACACACACAGACACCTACACACAGTGTAATAACATAAGGTGCAACAGAACATGAGTAACAGCAGGTCAACACAACCAAGAGACGAAACCACGTTAACTGGGAGGCAACAAAACACTCACGTCACGTCTTGTTGTTGAAACACATGGACAATCTGTGGTTTCTAACAGACATGATCGAATCGCTGAGATTGATTTATTTTTGTTATTGAAAAGAACAGTGAAATTTAATTTTGAGTGGAGGAAAATCCTGAAAATGGTTTCTGCTTCTGCAAATCACCACACTGAAAAGATTACATTTCTCTGTTGTCTGACAATTGCACACAGGTGTGTGTGTATATAGTGAATGTATATATGTATATGTGGCTTTATTCCCATTAAATACTGTAATTTTTCAGTCACAAATCGGACACTTGAGAAGGTTGTCCTCAGCGGTGTCCCCTCGTCGTTGCATGTTAAAGGCTGGTCGTACTACACACCAGGTCTTAGAGTAAAGCTCTACTTCTTTCGGGGCTGGATATCTTCACAGAATCCTCAGGGGTAAGTGTGTCTGAAGGTCGAGGTGATCTTTGGTCAAACAAATAACTTCTTTGAAGAGCCCTCAGTGCTCCAGTCAAGTATGCAGTAATTGGGTGCAGACAAAGGGTCACATGATAACTGGATGAATTAGGTCAAACTCCCCTTATACATAAGTCAAACTGTCCTTGGATAAAGAGTCGTAAAAATGAAAATAAAATTATTTTCACAAAGGCCCACAGAGTAACCTGATGCTACATAAAGGTGTTTGAACAGATAAATTGATTAAAAACGGTGGTTTTCAAACTACGGCACGTGTACCTCTGGTGTTGTGCATGCTCCCTCTAGTTCCCTCTTGTGGCATGTAAGGGAATCTGTTTAAGATCTGCGTTAGCTGAGTTACTTAGTTGTTAAATACAGCAGTGTCAGTATTAGCATTGCTCACTGCGGCTAATTAACCAGCTAATGATCTTATGAAGGATAAATTATATTTGTCGTATCGAGTACCTAGCCTAACGCAGTAGGTCTGTGTATTTTATTGACTGCCATGTTGTTAGTACTTGGAGAAAAAAAATGTTTTTGGATGTATTAGTGCAGAAAGTTCATCAAGGACTAGGCTAAAGCTAATATCAGTCTAAAAACTAAATGTGGTTTTCTAAACCTGGACAGTGGGTTCAGTCTGTAGACCACCTTGGTGAATGAGATAATTTACACAACCAGAACGCTGTGGTGAGGACTGTGAATCCTCCCACACATCACACATGTGCAGGGAAAACCTCCAGACAGACTCATTTTCACATCTTCCCTCCTTCTTTAATGGGCGTGAAACTGGAGGGAGGGAGGGTGAGAGAGAGAGAGAGGGGGGGGGGTTGTTTTTGTTTTTCTATTTCTATTTTGAATTAAAATGTAATAATTATTATAGGGTTAAGATTTTAGTCGAGGGAGACTTCTGAGCCCTGGATTTTCAGGGAGCTAAAAATATTTATTTAAACATTTATATACTGTAGTTGCATGTTAAATGACTGTGAGGAAGAACCTGGAGGTGGGGAATAAATGATGCAGGACGGCTGAGAGCCATTGAACAGGACCATATTTAAGTCACACTGCAGTGAAAGTCCTGCTGACGGTGTCCAGTATTTTTCTTTCTTTAAAATTTTGGATTTAGGCTAGTTAAATCCGCTAACTCCATTAGAAATGATCTCATATCTGCACTGGGTTCTTCAAAACAGTGAGATCTTCTCTAGTCATGGTCAGAAACAGGAATGTTCCACCATGTTCTAATCCTTTTTTAGGGTCTTGAGCAGGTGGTGTATTTTTAATGATATGGAAAAGTCAACCTCTATGCTGACGATCTTCTTTAATATTGAGCAGTACTGGCAGGACATAAGTCCTTCCTTCACAAACACACACTATAATCTAAGCAAATTTATTTTTGCCCTTTTTTGTCTTGTTCGGTCAGAGTCAACATAGTTATTTGTGAGAAAATGCCACAAAAAAAAAAACAACTAAACCTTCACAGAGAAAAGATAAAAAGCAAGAGAACTACAATTGAATTTTCTCACATGTGGTCCAAGACCCAATCAGTGACCTCAGTCACTGCAACACACACACACGGAGCTGACTAAAAATACCTTCTGAGGCGGTGTGTGTGTGTGTGTTAACCCTGGATGAATCAGAGGTCTACAGAAATGGCAGTGAGACCCCTGAACACCACAGTACCATCAGATAAATACAAAAATGGTAAAGGAGAAACTGTGAAAAACCCCATGCTGACATTTTTGGTTTGGTTAATAATTTTACTTCTCTCGTGTTCTTTTACCATTATTATTGTATAAAAAACAATATTGTTTTTCAGTTGCCATGACAACCCGTTGTCTCTTTGTATTGCCAGGACAGAGATAAGATGAGGACCAGAGTGGCAGGAGCTGCACTGGTTCAAATTGTTACTTTTCATTTCACCAACCTCGGTGAAGCAGTACTTAATGTTATAACAACGAAGAACAAACACAGTTCTGATCCCTGCACTGGACGGCAGTCATTAGAGCAGAGGCCTCGTACCAACTACAGCTGCCACGACAGAAAAGGATTTAACACATCATCCAGTGTCATCTGCCCCGGTGCCTGATTCACCGAAACACAATTAGGTTCTTTTGTGAATTGCGCCGTTAATTTACTTTAACGGGTTTGTGGGCAGAAGCAGCTTCCAGGCTGGCAGCAGCCCAGGCTTTTATGCACCATTTATGTAGTTGTTAATAAAGCAGCTGAGCTGAGCGTCGCTGTTATTTCCCAGATGACAAGAGAACACGTTACAGATGCCGTCAGTTACCAGTCGACAGAAACATGTTTTCCTTCTGCCATCATTCTCTTTGGGCTTTATCAAAATGATGAATCACAAAAGAGGAAGGAAATTATCTGAGTGAATTTTCCTGGAACAAATTTGGTTTCACTCTGTTGTGAACCACGTGGGATGGTACGCATGTTTCATTTGCAGTCTAACTGGCAAGTCTTCCAAATCTGTCAAGCAGAAAAAAGAGGTTTTAATCTGATCAGAGATAAAGGTCTTCAGGGTTTTTTAATTTCTTTTATCCAAAACTGTTTAAGAACTCCATGAGCTTCAAACTATCTACTTAATATGTCAAATTGTTCACGTACTGTAATGTGTTTAAGCTATCACACCTTTTGTTTACGTTCAGCGACGCCATCTTTAACCCTTTACAACCACAGGACCAAATGTAATAAAACACATTTTATGAAATTATCTGTGCAAAACCATTTCATCACTGTGGTTGTGTTCGAACTAACTGAATTGAAAGATTATCTTGAGACATCAGAGAAGAGCTGATCACGGCAATACTAGAAAGAGTTTTGATAAAAATCAGAATTTTTGGGTTTACATTTCCTCCAACATGTTTATGGCATTTCTCCTAAAACTAAACTCTTATGTTTTCAATCATCATTTCCCAGCAAAGTACTGGAGTTGGACAATGCAGAAATGATAAGGTCACAATATATATATATACCGTTTTCAAGGAAGAGATATTACCCAACTGATCACAGAGGAAAAAACACGGTGAATTGGGTGGTCCAATAAATCCTGTGTTGCTGGCTTGTTTTTAATGAACTTGGAGCTGTGTGTGATGTGTGAGTTTTGCCAGAAGGTAATTTGCCAGAGTTCGGCATCACTCCCTAAAAAACAAAGTACCTCAAGTGTATTTCTGCGCAACCCAATACTACGTTTTTACTGCTTTAAACTCCCTGGGTGAACATGAGGACCACCTTCATTCACACTCTAATAAATAAGAACAACCTCCGTATGTGACAACCAAATAAATCTTCAACTTCCGGTGTGGGCAAATCTCAGATCTGATCAGAAAGTTCGGATTCTTTATTTACAAAATGAGTTCTTTCTGTCCCATAGCACAAGGTAGAAATTAGTTGTAGTCAGAGAGAAGGGTAAATGGGTTGGGGGGGATTGGTTGTCAAAAATACAGACTCATTTCTATATCGTTTTGCGAAGAATACTGAGTGTCTTTAATGTTTACTGTATTTTAGTCGCTCCAGAGTATAAGTCGCACCAGTGCCCCTGGTGGCTGTCCGTGTGAAAATAACAAACGTGAAATTATATATTTGAATATATATTGTAAGACGCACCTGAGTATAAGTCGCAGAGCCAGCCAAAGGATGAAAAAAAAAGTGAGACTTATAGTCCGGAAAAAATGGTAATCAAAGCACAAACTCTTTATAGTAATGAGTACTAGCAGCTGGTGTAATGATAATGTACAGTCCAGTGGTGGTGAAACACCACCTGGCTGTAAGTGCAACAGTCGTGTGTAATGATAATGTACAGTCCAGTGGTAGTGAAACGCCACCTGGCTGTAAGTGCAACACTGATATACAGTAACAAAATGTGTCCTGCGTGAGATTATAAAAAAAAACTCATTCACTGAAACTTCACCTGTGTTTGATTGTATTTTTAAAACCGCTTTCGCCTTGTCTTAAAAACAATTATGCAGAAAGTGCGACCATACATCATCTTACGTCTCAGTGACCAGAAGCGTGAACTACACTGTATTTCACACCACATGAATCCCCCCCTGAATGAAGCTATGATATCTGTGGATCTGGCCAACTGTTGTCTGCTGAATTATTCCTGGCTGAGGATCATCGATCATTGTCACCGGGCGGCACAAAAGAATCACAGTCATATTTGCCAAATAGCACTTAAGTATGATTCATTACAGAGACCCCTCCCTCTCCGTCCGCCTCTCCGTTTTGTGTGGCGTCGATGTTAAACGCACCCTTGAGTACGATACCTAATGAGGCTAATGGATTTATGACTGACTGAGTCTGGCACAACGCTTTCGTCCCGCTCTCTGTCTCTCTGTTCGTCTGCCCACGTGTACAGTATCTCCTGTTTCGCAGTGAGGCCTGATACAATATTGTACAGTATCTCCTGCTTCGCAGTGAGATCGCAATGAGTACAATAATGTACTCATTGTTCTCTGTTGTGATTTAATTCATACTGATGTCTTTCTCCTTCAGTGATAAAAAACCCTCCTTAATACATGAATCATTAGGCATCAACGCTAATGAAAAAAACAAACGGTCTAATTTCCAGGGTCACCGGGGGGCTGTGTTTTCAGAGTCTTCTACCTGAGTGTGCTGCAGAGCCTCCTCGACTGTAAAGGGGAGGAGCCTGAAAGGCGTAAACCGTGTCGCTGTCGGCAACTGAAGTTAAGTCGTCGTCATCAGAGAAGGAGCGCTGGAAACCCGTGGAGTACAACTCTGACAGAATGACCTGGTGAAATCAAGACAGATTTGATTAAAGAAAAGAAAAAAAAAACAGGAAACAACAAAAATAAAAACTGCCTCACAGAAACTCCCATTCATCCATCTATTATTAACTCAGTAATTCTCAAATAGTGGGGCGGGGCCCCCGGGGGGGCCACGGTGAGGTGCCGGGCCGTGAGGGCGGTCCAATGTAATATGGCACGCTGGACATAAGTGTACCACTGCTGTAATGCTTGAATGATAACAAGCCTCCAGTCACTAGGTGGCAGCACCAAATACAGTGGTTCCTACAGATAAAAATATACATGTTGTCTGGTTCTTAATAGTATTTCAATTCACGGGGGTGTGGGTTGGGGAGCAGTGGGGGGGTAATTAGTGTTAACTAAAACCAAAGTTGCTTAGCATCGGCTCACGGTCCTCCGTGGTATTTCGCTCAGGGGCCCCCTGGTGGTCCATTGCCGTAAGATTTCAGATGCCCAAGAAAATACTTGTGTACTTTCAGTTTGCCGACTTTCTCCCTTTCTTTTCTCTTCTTTGGTTTGTGCCAAGAGTAATTTCAAGAAAATCGAATTTAACATGGTTTTTTTTTTGTTTACACAATAGACTTTCATATTCGATTACAAACACATCTGTTTGGCTGCTGCAGCACAGCACGGTGTAGGTCTTGGAGGAAGAACGCACTTCTTCAAGTAGTGAAGGCTTAAGAATCAAATATATGAACGTAATCAAAAGACAAACATGAGCATCCACATCTTGGACTAACACTTAAGTCAGGGGTGATAAACATACGGCCCGTGGGCCAAAACCGGTTCACTGGGGTGTTCAATCTGGCCGATAAAATGAATTTGGATAATAAAAAAATACACAAAACTCCTCATTTTAAGGATATTTTTTGAATAAATAATAATAATAATTATTATTATAAATATGGAATATACTTGTATTAAAGGAAAACAAAGGACTAAACCATGGACTTATTGTTGTTTCTAATTCCTTATGTTATGATTGTACTGGTCCGGCCCATTTGAACATCCAATTAGGTTGTATGTAATAAGTTTGACACCCCTGACTTAAATCAGTAAAATATTAACTGACAATATGTGGCACAGCCCACTTGTACTTGTATTAAAGGAAAACAAAGGACTAAACCATGGACTTATTGTTGTTTCTAATTCCTTATGTTATGATTGTACTGGTCCGGCCCATTTGAACATCCAATTAGGTTGTATGTAATAAGTTTGACACCCCTGACTTAAATCAGTAAAATATTAACTGACAATGTGTGGCACAGCCCACTTTGATGCATCTCTGTGTGTGTGTGTGTGTGTGTATGTGTGTGTACCTGGTCTGGGGAGAGTTTGCCCTCCTCTGCCACCATGGTCCTCAGACAGGACAGGTTACCAAAGAGAGGCACAGCCAGCCCCACCCGCACGTACCGTTGACCCTTTGTACTGAAGACTAATGTTACACACAGCGGCCTGCAGGGGAGACGAGGGAGGGTTAGAGGGCGTGTGTGGTGTTTGTGCACTGTGTGTATGATGTGACAAATCAATCTGTACAAGGACAAAAACCCCATT